ATGGAAGTTGATGAGAAGCCTTCAAGTGTAGTAGTAGAACAAGACCTTGACATTAATGTTTGTCCTGTTGTTAGGTCAAATTCAATTGCTGAGGACAACATCCATGTAGGAACTGCTCGTGATTTGGGTTCTCTTCCTGGGGATTTTGAGCCTAATTCTTTGGTATTAGGTCCAAGAGACTCTGGAACTAGCACGTGTGTCTCAAAGGAGGGATCTTTTGGTGAACCAGAAAATCATGCCATGGAAATTGATAACCAGCCTCAGATCAATAAAAATCAGAAATGGGACATTCAATCAACAGAAGATGTTTGTCAGAATGATGGAAACATGGCCAATCCTCTCGATCTTGAAGTAGATTTGAATCCTTGTACAAACCCACATGATGATACGTCAGGTGATACAAAAAGTTCAGAATCCAGTGACTCAGAACCGGACTTTTGTGTCTCCGATTTAGTGTGGGGTAAAGTCCGGAGCCATCCTTGGTGGCCTGGGCAGATATTTGAAACTTCAGCAGCCTCAGCAAAGGCAAAAAAGTATTTTAAGAAAGATTGTTACTTGATTGCATATTTTGGTGATCATACATTTTCTTGGAATGAAGCATCACGGATCAAACCCTTTTGGTCACATTTCTCTAATATGGAGAAGCAGAGCAATTTGGGAGATTTTCTCTATGCCATCCATTGCGCTCTAGAGGAGGTCTCTAGACGAATAGAATATGGACTGGCCTGTCCTTGCATCACAAAGGAAGCATACGCCAGTGTCAAAACTCAGATAATTGTTAATGCTGGAATCCAGGGAGAATCAAGTAGAATAGATGGAGTGCAGGACAGATTTTCAAATGCAACTTTGTTTCAACCTTCTCAATTCATTAAATATATAAAAGGTTTAGCCCAGTCGCCATATTATAGTGGGATAGGTAAACTGCAATTTGTAACCTCACAAGCACAGTTGCTGGCTTTCGACCGTTGGAAGGGTTACTCTCAGTTGCCTGAATTCAAAATTCTTGGTGGATTGCTGGAGAGTGATGCAGAAATCATGCACTCTGTGGAAGTAAAGCAATTTAGCAGAGAGACTGAAAATGCTTTTCCCAGTTCCAAAATTGATCAAGTGTCCTCTGGAGATAGGAGGCCTGAGAGTGAAGATGGTTCCGCTCATAAGCGAAAGTACAGTGGAGAAAGTATGCCTTCCAAGAAGGAGAAAAGCTTGTCAGATTTTATAGCCGAGAGGCGCTTGAATATTAGAAAGGGTAAAAAAGGATTAGGTGATAAATCTGGTCTTAAGTCAATCTATATATCCCCTGGTGGAAAATGTGAATCTGCTGATTCCATGTCTGATGACTCCGTGCCTGTGGCGAAACATTTGAAAGGTAATTTGCCTGATGACTCGACTCCTATGGTGAAACATATGAAAGGTAATTGGCCTGATGACTCAGCTAACAAGTTGTCACACTCTAAGCAAACTGTCACAATTGGAGCTAGCATACTGAGGGTTGCTAGCCAACTAAATGGTTCAAGTCCATTATTCAAGAATGAGGATGGGTTGTCACAGAAATCTTCAGCGAAGAATAAGGACACAAAAAAACCTCTCCCTGGGAAAAAGGCTCAAGGAAAAACGTTTTCTCAAACACAGAATTCTACCCCTGATGAGATGCTGTCACAACTTTTCTTGGCTGCCACCAATCCCCTGAAAGAGTACAACTTCTTGACTTCGATAGTTAGTTTCTTTGCAGAGCACAGGAATTCCATCTTTCTGGAAAGTAACAGTTCTGAAAAGCATGAACAGTCTGTGACAGTAGACTCTTCTTGGGCTGACAAGATACTTCAATGCCTTCCTGAAGAAATCTTGAAGGCCGATTGTCATAATCAAGCTGCTGATGTTTTGCCTGAAACTCCTAATGAAGATGGTGTTTCAACTGTTGAACTACAATCATCTGTTCAACCAAGTGCCAACTTGGACTCTGAACCAACATCCACAGTTGCAAATCCTGAAATGGAAACAGAGAAGCCTGTAAAACCCTTGAGTGAGAGTTCTAATGAAGACTCTTCACCAACAGCTCTGATTCTGAAATTTACAGACTTGGATTCTGTTCCTATAGTGGAAAACCTGAATAAGATATTCAGTCGTTATGGACCTTTAAATGAATCAGATACACAAGTGCTGAAGAAGAGCAACCGGGCCAAAGTAGTATTCAAAAGACCTGCAGATGCAGAAACAGCTTTCAGCAGTGCTGGTAAATATAGTATTTTTGGACCATCACTTGTCAGTTACCGGCTCAAATATCTGCCTTCAACATTGCATAAAGTTTCTTCAGGCACAACAAAACGCAGTAGAAAAAAGGCAAAATCTGGAGCTGGAAGTTCAACTTGATATCAATGATTCTGTGACTGCTGATCTTAGCCATCCGTATGCTTTTCTTTTTGAGGTTATACAGTGATCAAGGGTAGTTGTTAGCTTTTTAACTGACTAGTGTGAATGAAAATAGTAGGACCAAACAGTTGAGTAGCTACTAATTAGGAAATTCATGGTAAGCAGAGGTTCTAATCAACATTGAGATCATGTTTAGTAATTCAGTTTTCTGATTAATTAGGCACATTACTGCTTTCTTTAGGATTTTTGGTTTTATCGGTTATTTATAACTGCATTTTATGATATAGATGCTCACTTTAACATGAATATTTGATTCTTATTGTAGTTCCAAATGTTGGTTTTCTTGTGTTAGTTTTTACCCATCACATTTTAGGGAATGTACATACTTAACCTATGATTTGAAAATGTATGAATGGGCAGTGTCCAATTGTCCTAGTGCTTAGATAACTTTACGAATTTATTATGTTTAACAAATCATACTAGCTATGCTCTGCCCACTTATTTCATTTGACAAAAGGGGTTGATGGTATGTATTAAGTTATTTAACGTTATTTGATTGTTGTGAGAATTTATTGTCAACAAATGTTGTTGAATGAGTTTTGTTTTAACAATTATTAACTTTTTTATTATCTTAATTATAATTATGGGTCTTTTGTTTTGCTATATAAATTATATCATCTTATAAAATATAAATTAAAAAAAAAAGATGATTTAATATTTTAAGGATTTTTTTAATTTAATAATGATTATTTTATAATTTAAATTATAAAACAAATTTTTTTGTATAATTACTTCCAATTTCATAATCATCTCTTTCCAAAATCAATCATTTTTTATTGTTTTGTAAAGCACTCTTACAACTGATCAGAACCTGCTACATCTATTTCTTTCTCAATTATTGTAAAGTAAATTTAAAAATATTATTCGCACCTGGACCTTGTTATCCAACGATCATAGATCGCTTGTAAAGTGCATCTCAATCCGAGAAGTGGGTTCGAATCCCCCTCTCCATATTTGTAA